GTTGTCTGCTAGACAAAAGAGATGAAAGCTAAGCTTGGTAACAGCAAAAATAATTATAATAAATAGACATATTCTATATGTTGAGTCACTGGTGAGTACAATCCCACAAATGAGCTCTTCCTGTAAGTCTGCTAGCTGCTGAGTATTAAGTACTACTGTTTAACTACATGCAAGTCCCACAGTCTGGTTTAGTGATTTATTTCTGTCAGTAAAATTTCAAATAGCTTCCAGTCAAAAGCAGATTACCCACAACTATGCAATGTAATATGTTACAGCAGATTTGCAATGTATCTTTTTTGTGTGCCATGTAATGTATTAATAGTATCAGAGTTTTGATATTGCTTATTTGTAAATCACCGTTTGGACTATAACCCCTTAAAACGTGGGTGCAAAAAAAAATCTTGGGCCTCATAGTATTTATGATGTAAGTGTTTCACGTGCTTTTATCAATACTGTGTGTATGAACAATAGTAAAATTATTAGATTTATGAAAGAAGCTTAATAAATTGTAAGCATAACTCAGTAGGCTTAATTTAAAAAGCATCAAATGACGTTATCTACCCAATGATGCCCACAAATCTTAATTCCTAAATTATCATCCTCTTAGCTGAGTTTATCTACACGCATGATGCTGAAGTTACATTTCAGAATATGACATATGATTCTTGAGTTTTGATAAGGAATTGATTATATTATCAGAAAGAGAGTTTTTTACCTCTGAAAAGCAATCTGATGTAATATTGATTGATTTTCAACATCGTTAATTGACTAGCTAAGTGAATGAATATCTACGTGGCAATGAAGGTTTATTACATCATTAATTTTTTATCCCTTTTATAAGTTTTAAGAGTTTATTGAGGCCAATCTGCTATTTAACATACTGTACTTCTTCCACTCTTTTGAACCTTTAATATAAAATAAGTGCCTTGGAACAAAAAATTTTGGAGATTTATAGTGATGGAAATCTGTTCAGCAACAGTCTGATCTCAGTGACATCTACCTGTAGAAGAAAATGTGTAAATTTGAGTTACTTGCTTTGTCTTGATACGTAAGATTTAGAGTCAATCTGAATATCCTGAATTCTGGACTGTAATGAGCTATGTCTTCTACTACAACACTTTGTAATTCTGATCATACTGCTCGTGCTAATGCGTAAATATCAGCTCTGTTATAAACTGCTGCTTTTTGCAAGCAAAATTCACCGCAATGTTGTGGATGTATGTAAGATACAAAATTTGTCTGGCATCTATGTTAAGTGTTACACTGCAAGATCTTCAGACCTTGATGTATAAGCAGGTAGAGTTCTACACATGCAGCGTCAGCTCCAGGAAGAGTTCACCCAGCATATAATAACCCCACCACTAACTACTTAAATAAACATGGACTTCAGGGATTCATACCACTCTGATTGAAACAGTATTGAGGAGTGGAAGCTGCTTGAAATCTCTTAGAACTTTTGTAATTGCAAAATTACTCTCATCTGTTAGTAAATTTGAATAAAAAGTGTTTGGGGCTGCTAGAGTTTGAGTTCAAAGAATAACTGTGGTTTGCCGAGGCAAGAAATAGATAATTAAAGCAATATTTAGAGACACGCTGATAACTTCAAAATGGGATAAATTTAAGGATAATGTTTTCTATACTGGAGAGGAAAGAAAGTGAAAATAACCCAAGAATATATTAATGCATGTCTCATTGAATCTCGTAACAGTTTCTGAGAGCTGCAGTTATTATCAGAAATCTGACTGAATGCC